AGCCCCGTGCCGGGGTGAGACGGATGCCCAGCTGTGTCGTATATACCTGCCCGCGCCGTGCAAACCCCCTGCTCCGCGTTGCCCCCGGCCCTGCCGGCAGCGATGGGGTCGGACCCCCTGCGCCAGCCCTGGGGGACAGCCGAGGTCTCCTCGCTGAGTCCTGACACTGCTTAATTCACGGGTCTAGACGCAGCCCGTGTTGCTCTTGGCCATGGTCAGTGGAGAGAGCTTGGCACTGCCAGCGCGGTTTGTAACTTGGCTGAGCTCACGCCACTGACGCAGGGGGACACTTGGGGAAACAAGCTCCCTTTAAACCTTTCGATGCGATATTGGCCGTTCTTGGAAGCAATGGGGATGGGTGGGAGCCGGCCTCGGGCTCAGCCCGCTGAGGCCTTTCTGGAGGGCTGGCGCTTGTCGGAGGAGGATGCTGCAGCCACGGACACCCACCCACCCACTTTCTCTGTCTTCAGGGATCGTGGCCCTCCTGCCCCAGCCTGCACGGCTGCTCGGATGTGTCCTGGCCAACAGCCCTGGCTCGCTGGTCGTCAGCCCTTGCTTGTACTCAGCGCCTGCCTGTCCTGCAGCACTTTAATGGGGTGGGGAGCTTGTTTCCTGGCCACTTCATCCCCTGCCCCGTCTCCCAGTAGTTGTTGTCCTCTGGGATTCACCATGCTCTGGCTCCCTGCATCCCCACACCCATTTCTGCATCCCCCATACCCTGCCCTGCCTCCCTGCATCCCTGCATCCCCACACCCTGTATCCCTGCATCGCTGCATCCCTGCATCCTCATATCCTGCCCTGCATCCCTGCAACCCTACACCCTGCCCTGCATCCCAGCATCTCTGCATCCCTGCATCCCTGTATCCCCATATCCTGCCCCACCTTTCTGCATCCCTTCATCCCTGCATCCCCACACCCTGCCCTGTACCCCTGCATCCCTGCTTTCTCACCCTCTGCCCTGCATCCCCACACTCTGCCCTGCCTCCCTGCACCCCAAGGGCCCTGGTCTGTGACTCTCTGCCTTCCCAGCCCTTTTCCCTGCCCATCTTTTCAGTAACTTGCCTCTGAGACGTTTCCACCATCCTCCCACCCCCAGGGAAGCGACACCCTCCGAGGCTTTGCTGACAGCAACCCTGCAGGCCCCTTCTGGCTGTGCGGAGACAGCTGCCCCACTAATCCCGGCCATCCATCGCGCCCGACAGCCGGGGATTTACTGCAGGCCAGGAGCCAGCTGCGACATGCACCTGCTGCCGGGGAATAGCAGGCAGATCCACCCCGGTTCCTCTGCAGCCCTAAAAAGGAGACGAGCCGGCCGCGTTCCTCGGGGCACAATCATACATTCCCGC